TTTGAAAAAAAAAAATTAAACATAAGGACCAACTAGGGACTTCGTATTATATATTAATGTTGTTGCCTACAACTGAAACTTAATCATTTGGATTGTGGACCACCCAAGACATCTTTTCAGATGTTGCACTAACCTTATGTGATGTAAGCATCTTCAAACTCTCAATATCCCAAGTCTCTTTCTTTTGATAAATTAATTAAAAACAAAGTTGAAAACATATACATAAAGAAAACATTGCAATCCAATTGGAGAACGGTAACATATATATATATATATATAATAGAAGTGAACTTTGAACACAACATTATCTATCTAAAATCGGTACACAATTGCATAACGTCGTTTTCACTGTCTAGGATTAAGAAAGTACTCGTTCTTACAAAGATCCACCGCATTCTTTAGTCTTTAAAGTGACATCCTGTCCCCTGAAACTGTTTCTGTCGGATGCCCTAGAACAAAGCATTCTATATATTTGAGTACAAACATTATGCAATTTGGTTTGTACAAGAAATGCTTGTACGTTAGTGTAATGTGCCATAAATGAGAACTTAACAACGGTATTATATAACAAGAGTTGAAATGCTCACCCATTGTTCGCACATGGTAGATAAGATATAATCTCTTGCTTCATTCGTTCCTTGATGTTTTTATTTATGTCTCGTCTGGTGGAAAGGGGTGGACACTACAATAATCCTTGACCATAGTGTATGTTGCGTTTGCATGTGCCTTGATTGCATCTGGTGTGTGAACATTACTGCTACAGTCGTATATCTGAAATTTCCAACTGAAATTTCCAATCAGGAATATTGAACATGAAAAGATAACATTCATTGCCTGAATATGAGCTTGGAATTAATAAGTACTTGCATCCCATCCACGGACGACTATCTACAAGCAATCTACCAGTGACATAGTCTTGTAGGCGCGTTCTATCCATTTCACCTCTCTGGTTTCCCATTCGAAAGTCCATTTGCTACCTCATGTGACGAGAGCACTCCTCTTCGAATTGGAAGTCCAAAATTGCATATTGTTTATTGAGAAGTGTACAACCTTCATTCATACACCACCTCAATAACTTCAACTCCAACTCAATATGCTAATAAAATAAACACATGTAACATATATCAGACATATTAACTAAGAAATTAAATTGAGTTGGGTTTCTAAAATTTCGTACCACAGTATTCAAATCTTTCATTCAATCTAGTAGCTTTCTCAACATGTCCCTTCCATAGACATTCCCACTGTCGTCGTCCAAGTATGCATTGTATGACACAATTGACATTAGTATCAAATAAATCAACACAGAATTTCTGACGTTGCCGTAATAATGTTTAGCATTCAAACTAGTAAGAATGAGTAAAATTTGTTACCCTAGTTCATCTGTCGCTATGAAATCTCTAATTTTCTTATACTTTTTTTAAGTCGTAGTCTTCTAAGGGACGACTCGTCGATGATGAAGACTGTGCGTACTTCCTCTTCCTTTCCCTTTCTCTTCTCAAACTTTGAGCATGTTAGATTTGTTGAGACGTTGATATCTCCTGTTCATGATCAGTAGGATTTGGACTTGCATGGGGAGAGACATCTTGCTGCATGGAACCTATAATGGTTTCCATGTTCGATTCCCAGTTAGATAATCTGTTCTACATATTCTCAGTATGTTCGTCAATGTATGATCTCACGGAACATAAACTGGAATCCACATAACATCGCATTTGGTCTTGTTACTGTTGAAATAATTCTTCTTGTCTTTGTAGAACTGCCTGATAATGGGCTTCTTGTGTTTGCGATTCGTAGGCCATATGACTCTGAAACAAACCATATAGAGAATTATCTATGTACGAATGTAAACCATGTTGTATGTAATCTTGCAACGATTTGGTTTGTTCTTCGAACATCAGCTTTTGGTTGTCAAGGATCGCGTGGTTCAGGGCTCTTGATTCTTCAACAAAGTCTGCCTTCAAGTTTCCACATAGATCAGACACATCTGATATTGTATGCTGCCGGTACATACCAAACATTTCTTCCAAACGGTTTTCAGTTACATATCTTGAGGTACTGGAAGCAGAACTAGGCCCAGCTCCAATTGAAGTCCTCGGTATACCACCACTTGTCGCTTGTTGTGTACGAATGTGATTCGGTAATGGTTGTACTACATTATCGAATTCTCCGTTGACAATGACATCTAGTATACTATGTTCATTGTCAGCCGGCAGTGACAAAGTTGAGTACCACGATATTTCTAATTCTTCTTCGGTAGGTTACAGCACTACAAGGACTTTGATCTGTAATCATCGTAAACAAGTTCGTCTCAGCAAAATTTTCAATGTCAGGTTTTCCAAATTTAATGCGAAAGTCAATGTACGTTGGAATTAAAAAGTCATACCTCTTCCGTATCCAAAAATTCTTTAACAATCACTTCTTTCAGTATTGTAGTAGGCCTCCACTTGTACATTCGTAGAATATGTGCCGTTCTGTACCTACGGCGTCCAAACTTTTCCCCGATCTGTGGAAATACTTCGTATATTCAATACTGCAACAGAATTACAGCTAAATGTCGATGTATATTTTTTTACGAAGAAATTATACGAAATACGGGAACACTTAAAATATAAACAACATACCTGAAATGCAAAGTGGATAGCATTGTACTACATACTTACATTCTAATTGTCGGTTCTATTGTATCCTTACCACTCGTTCCAATTGCGACTCTTTCAACAAATTTAACAGAACAAAATATGCGGTACGGTCCCATGAATACATAAGAAACGCATTAAGATGTTCAACCATGCCCAACGTTCTATAATCAATTTGTCTTGAAGTTGGTTTCAACACACACTCCACCAACATAACTAGTCCCAACTTAAATTTATCTTTCTCGTCTTCGCACATATGGAAAGCTTCAAAAAGCATTCTATTACTAATTTTTTTGCCCCCATTGAAGTATTGATCTCTAAGACGATCGTTACTATAGTCAATTTCAATGGATGATTCATGATAAGGTAGTCCAGTAATTAGGCAAAATTCTTGCATGCCGAACCTGGCAACATGGTCATCTAACCGTACCCAAAGTTCATTATTTTTGGCACAATGTATAATTCGCATTATAAATTCGTGTACCAACTTGCTACTAAATTGTTCATGTTGTCCCCTGAACATAGTTCCGTAAACAAATCCACAAAAATTGCTACATAGTAAAGAGCATTGTTGATTGGCATCTATGAATTTTACAAAATCGTTAATGTATTCGCGATTTGGATACTGGACGATGACAGCAGAAAACCACTGATTTGGAGAGAGAACGTATTTTAAAGACATCTGCGTAATTTACACAGTAAAGAAAAGTTTAAAACGAATATATTATTTTGTTTACAAAAACCCAATATAGAAAATTTACGTAAAAAAAAAGTGTACAATTGATCGTAAATTATATTTTAGACAAATCTATTTTTATTTACAAAACCACATCCTAAAACCTGAGAGCTATAAAATAGAAAAAGAAAAAAAAGGGGGGGCAACATTTCTCACGCTGTGTCACGGCACTGCTGTGTGTCACGGAGACACACGGAGACGCAGCGACACTTTCGTATCGACTTCTGTCGAAAAAATTATGTCCCCGTAATACAAACAAATTTTTTTCTTCGACAACTTACTACTAAGTAGCACAAACGTTGAATATAATTTTTGATGTGCCTACCTTTTTCAGTCGAATAGGCACTTTTTTGGAGTAAATGTGTGAGAAGCTTTCCAACAAAATGTGTTGCCGAATGAATATTGCCAATGACATTGTAGTTACAAGTGTGGAGAGTGAATGAACATAAAATGTGTGGATGGGAGAGTGAATGTGAGGATAGAGTGATTGTGAGAATGGCTCTCCACTTAAAAGTGTGCATGCATGTGACAATTCCTTGCAAATTGTGTGTAGAGAATTGGATGTCAGTAACAAAGTTGTTGTGTTATGAATAATTGAGTGAATGGTTTGAATGAATTCTGTATGGGACTATATTCACATGTTGTTGTGTTGTTAACTTTTTGTACACATTCGGATATATATCAATGATTTTTTTACACATAAATACTGTGACTTGTTGTCTTGCAATAATTGGAACGTTTTGACAAAATCTAATTTTCTTTAATTTATTAAAGCTAATCGAGTTAATCAAAACAATATGTATAGAGAGTTGTAATTGCATTACAAGGATCCAAAAAACTACCACGTTTTGACCGTGTTTGTGGTGTGTCACCATGTATGCATTGACATTTCATGGTG